TCACACTAAAATTCCTTCAGAAAAGAAATGCAACTGTATTTAGTTTAAAGTTAAGTTACATACAAGATTTTACAGATTTAGGGAGCAGTCTTGGGAAGGCAATGCTAGAGAATTTAACTGCAAATAACTTTAATATTTGGTTCATGTTATTCTTAAGCAGAACTTAAGAACCGTGAGTGTGGATAAGCATGTGGAGATGTTCTTTCATTTCTGGGGATGATCAAATGCAATTAAAATACAAAACGTCATCACTGATCAGTTTCAGACAAGGATACCAGCTTGCAGGAACATGGAAAGACTTGTCAAATAAACCTTTGTAAAATTATGAAGTTGTCTATTTTGTAAATAGATTTATTCTAGTAAAGGTAGTATGGAATATTAATCTATAATTAGCAAATGGAATACAAACCTATACTAGTGGCAAAAAATCCCTTTCTATGCAAGTGTTATGTATGTGTTTGATAAGGTATGTTTTAAGATCATGTTTTAAATATAATTAAACTTGTTTATCCTGTGAATCAATTTTCAGAGAGGTTGTAGCTCTGCAGCCTTGTTTCAGTGCCATCACTGAAGACAGGAGAGAGAGAGAAATCCTTTTGTTTTTAGCAGGAGAAGACTGGGCAGTTGAGGGATCTGTGCTGACAGGCAGCCAAGCTTTGGCCCAGGAGTGTGGCCAGCATGGCAGGAGACACATGTAGGGGTAGAGGAACTGGCACTGTCCCAGCATTGGGCCAGAGGAGATTGACCAGAGGGAAATTCCACCACTTCGAGCTTTGGGCGTGGGGGAACTCAAGGGAAGTCTAAGGAGGATGAGGTGGAAGGCTGAAAATGCTGTGGGGAGAGGGAATTGGAGGTGCAAGCTCGAGGAACTTAAAGGTACAATGGAAGGGCTGTCTCAGGGACAAGCTGGTAATGAAGGGGTGCTTGCACAATGGAAACTTAAGTGACAGGAAGCAAATTCATAGGAAACTGGTCTTCAGCCTGCTGCTCAAAAAACAAGCTATTCTTTAGAGCTGCAGCTGAGCTAGGAAAGGAAGACAGCACGTAGTGATGCGACAGGCACATTTCTGAGTTTCCCTAGGACTAACCATGGGGCCAGAGGATTTCTTTCACTGCAGAGAGAAGGAGGATTTGCACTGGGTCCCTTCTCTGGAAATGTTGCTAACCAGTTGATCCTTTTTTTTTGTCTCAGTAATATAGTCTAAGAATGATACCAGCTCACATCACTTGGCAATGTATTTATACGAGTGAAAATGAAGTAATTTACTGTGGCTTACTTGTAGACTGTGAATAGTGTTACTTCCTACAAATTGCAGTAACAATAATTTCTGCTGCTTTGCAATGCTTCTTTTCCTTCTGTACTTTTCCTCTCACTTGAAAGCTAACTTCTTGCTTTAGATTACTCCTTACAACAACTATTTGTTTTACAAAGGATTATGGCTTCCACAGGTTACAGATGAACTGGAACCACTGAGTCAGAATAGGAAAAGCATAGTTGTAGTAGATAGGTAGATTAGTAGGTTTTCATTAGAACAAAGACAATAAAACATGCCAAAACTATGACTGCAATTGCAAGCATATTCAACTTTTCTACATGTGCCTCCCAAAGTGCTTGAATAGTTTTGTTTTTCCAGTAAATCCTTTATATGGGTTTCATTCCATTCATATATAAGAATAGGGATCCCCTTATGAATTGTAATAAGTGAACATTTCTGTTAGTAGAATGGTAGTGTTTACTCTTCTAGAGATGACTCATGTAGATTGTACTTTCTTTAATGCAGTTGTGTTTTTTGTTATAGATGCATATACAAAGTTTATAATTGTCCTGACTTTAGTCTTGCTTAACTGTGATGAGCTATCCCACTAAACTGTATTTTTAGACTTTCCTAAGGAAATGAAGCTTACGCTAGTCATGCTGTAACAGTCAGCTGTCATAGTCCGTCCATCTGTCCATCCTTGATAACTCAGCCAATTTTAGGCAAACTTGACAGACTGGCAGAGATAATCTAACTAGTTTTCTCCAAGTCTCTGCCTGGGAGAGTCATTGCTGATGTCCCTCACTGGAGGAGAAGCCAGACCAACCCCAGTTCTTTGCCCAGTCCTGGCAGGGCTGAAAGGCAGTGGGGCACCAGACGCTGTGCTTGACTGGCCAGCCCAACAAAGGTAGGGAGGAGGGCAGCACCAGGGGAGATGGAGTATGCTTTGAAGGCATTTTGGAGATGGCAGTGGGGAGCTAGAGATACAAGAAGGACCTGGGGATGTGGAAGCAGTCATATGGTAGGGGGACTTAGTGTGAATCCTGCAGGAGATGGGGGAGGGAGAGAAGGAATAGCTCAGCAGGAGGTATAAAGAGAAAAACAGAAACATATTTCCTTCATTCTGCTCATGGAACAGCTTGTTTCCTCTGCAGTCATAGATACAGTTGTGAATGTTGCAACCTCACATAAAAAATGATTCTTAGATAATGTGCTGTGCTGTGCTTCGCTGTGCCTGACTGCAGATGGGTCTCTGCATAGTTTTCCTTTGGTCAAACCAACTGGAAAGTCTTTGGTGCACTTTGATGCTATTGCAAAAGGTTAATCATTACCATGCTGTCAGCCTTAAAAAGTTCATTCACATGAAATGGTAAGCTTAAACTGAAGAATTCCAGTTGTCTTTATTGATAGAAATTAGAAGCTTCACTATGTTTCTTTTTTTTTTTCCTAAATTTGTAATGATTTATGTTTAATGGGTGTGATAGGAAGCACCATTTGAAATGTCAAATGCATCATTGGAAGGTCTGTTAAAAAAGAGAGAATATATGAAACTCCAGAAGAAAGAAAGTGCTTAAATGATAACTTTTTCGTAAGTGTTTGGATACCTATATCAGATTTCAGGGGATTTTCCTGAGAAAATTTGGGGTTTTACCTGTTTGTCAACAGTTTTTTCTCTAGATACTTAAATTTATGGCATTTTCTTGTCACACTACATCCCCATTTCTCAGGGTTATTGCTGTGTTCTGAGTTTCAACTAGTTAGGCCAGCTACTTCACCATCTACCATCTAATTTTGCATTAGTTCTTCTGCTGTAATTCCGAGAAGTGAACTGCATATCTTCATTAGTGAGCCGATAAAAGCCTAAGTTTTTAATCTGGAAGGTTCAGTTTCAGTGGAGGACTATACGTAGAGTGAATCTATTGAAATGCAGTTACTTGTTTTCTATCAATTTACAACAAGTAATTTCCCCCTTTTCTTAACAGAACTACCTTTAAGTTGTGTTTGTTTATATCACTGTAATTTAATGCTCCTTAGTTCTGAAACGCCCTTGTCTTTTTGGTTAAAAATGATCTCTAAACTGATGAAAATTTCCAGTCTTGGCAGAGATCAGAGCCTGACCACCTTCTGATTAGTACTTGCTTGTACACTCTTTTCCTGTGATTGTCTCCCCTAGTACAATAAGCTGCCTCCCTCATTTTGCCTGAAAGTGCAGCCACTGGCTCTTGGCTGAAGTGATATAGTTAGAATGACATTAGGATGTAGCAGGCTCCAGCAGGAAACAAGGCCCTACTGGGGAAGGTCAGGAAACACTTTAGGATCATCAGGATTTTCTGCCATCTTCTGAGACCATAAGACCATGTATTAATGTATTTAACTCTCCTAGACAATGATCCCTGCATGGCTGTGTGTGCACTGTTAGTCTGTGCTGCTCAGATAATGGTGAAATAAGCATGAAGTTTTGTGGTGAGCAAACAGCTTTGCTGAAGATGCCCACTGGATATGCAAGTACATGTATATGTAAATATATTAAAAACACACTTTGGCAGCGGAGTGGCTGGATTGAATAGGCCTGAATTGTTAAAAACCTTATTTCTCCTTATTTCAAATTATTCAGAGAAACAAAAACAAAGTACCTTTATTTATTTTCCTTACGCTAAGTATTCTATAATCAGCATGTGTGCTCTTGTGTCTCAACTAAATCTTTCACCTGCCACCCAGGCTCTAGGAGCATGGAGAAAAGTACAAATGCTCCTATTTCTGTTTTGCTTTCTCTCCCTTGCGTGACTTTTTGGATGTTGTTTGATTGTGCTATGCTGAGACGTAATCTTTTGTTTTTCATATATTTTATAAGTGAATTTCAAAAGAGAGGGCTACTTGTTCACTTTATTTATTATTTTGTTTATATGTAAGCTTAAGCAGGGGTTGCTGCAAAAGTTTTAAAAGTACACCGAGTGTGTTGTGCGGTTTTTCTATATTTCAACAGACATTAGTATGGTTTCTCTAACTAAAAAAAAAAAAGGTGATGTGTTCAATGTTATTGTTTTTTCTTCTGTACATTGTATTTAACACTATAATTAAAGCCATGACAGGACATCAGAATTTACAGGTTATAGGGAAACATATGCAAATGGTCTTCCTCATCATCAGGTTTCTCCTGTTACAGTACATGATGAAATGTAGGTGAAAGAGGTGTGAGTTTCAGAAGGGGAGTTGCAGTTGGAAGGAATTGCAGCTATGCCTGTGCAATTCCTGTGCCTGCCTGGGTATTGCCAGAGCAAAGAGAGCAATACAATCTGCAGAGAAACTTCAGCTTTTATTTCTGTACTCGTTAGTTTTTGTAGGTTTTCTTTCACTTTTTGTTTGAGCCAAATTGAAGTCATCTCCAAAATTAAAAGGCATGGTCATTTGGCTGGAATTTAAAGATATATAACAGCAAGCTCAGAAACGTTTCAGTGATTAGCTGTGAAGAAATCATTACGTTTAAGTGTGTCTAAACTCTGCTTCTTCTGAGAAGAGAATAGAAGTCATTATAACACAAACTGTTCTTTACCTAGTGGTGCATCAGGTGGATGTTAGGGAGAATCTCTTAAATGTGTTGCTATTGCCTGACTATCTAGTGCTACAGAAGAGATCTCCATTTTAGCAGTGTTGTTGAAGTGAGGGTACAGCACGTCACCACGTCCAGCTCTTGCAGTCTGGGGACAAGCATTCCAAGTGACCACTTTGCATTTCTGTCTTTACCAGGCTTGGGAAAAACCAAGAGAAAGACGAGTGCGAGAGACGCCTCCCCCACTCCGAGCACAGACGCAGAATACCCTTCCAACGGCAGCAGCGCCGACCGGATTTACGATCTTAACATTCCCGCCTACGTGAAATTTGCCTATGTTGCTGAGAGGGAGGACGAGCTGTCCCTCGTTAAAGGGTCCCGAGTGATTGTCATGGAGAAGTGCAGCGACGGCTGGTGGAGAGGGAGCTACAACGGACAGATCGGCTGGTTCCCTTCAAACTATGTGGTAGAGGAGGTTGAGGAGGCAACTGCAGATTCACCCAGCTTTCTCAGCCTAAGGAAAGGCGCTTCCATGAGTAATGGCCAGGGCACCAAAGTACTCCACATCGTTCAGACACTGTACCCATTCAGCTCGGTCACAGAAGAAGAGCTCAATTTTGAAAAAGGGGAAACGATGGAAGTCATTGAAAAGCCAGAAAATGACCCAGAATGGTGGAAATGTAAAAATTCCAGAGGTCAGATCGGTCTTGTCCCTAAAAACTATGTAGTAATCATTAGTGATGGCCCTTCCATGAACACTTCCCATCCACCTCAGATAAGCTACACGGGACCATCTTCTACTGGACGATTTGCTGGAAGAGAGTGGTATTACGGGAACGTTACCCGGCACCAAGCAGAATGTGCCCTGAACGAAAGGGGAGTGGAAGGAGATTTCCTTGTTAGAGACAGTGAATCTTCGGTAAGTGGTGCTCGGCCTGCAGGTTTGTAAACTCCCATGCACGGGTTAGCAAGCACTGCACTTAACACATTCCTTGTCTTTTCATCCTTAAAGAAGCAAACAGGGCATCAGCATTACCAGCCAATACCCTCCCTGCTTGTGAGAATCAGTCTGTCAGTGAAATGCAGTGACATTTACACTGAAATTTAACAGCTGTGGTCTGTATTATCCAGGGGTTTTTTAAATCTGTGGACAATCAAGTAAATATTTCGGTTTTCCATTTAGCTTTTCATGTTTCTCATGCAGTCATCGAATTTAAAGCATTACGAGGTAAAATAATTCTTGTTGATTGAAAATTTAGTCGTTGATTTGATCTTAAATCTGTTTTCAAATAGAATCTTTGCATTGGTCAGTTCTATTCTGCTTTTAATTGAATAATTGCATCGTTTCTTTATTAAAGTCACATTTTAATGTATTTTTTATCTACCTAGATCATTTAGGTTGTAATAAGGTAAAGTTATTATTGTATCTAGTTGTTAAGGTTGTTATGTACAACAGATAGGGTCAAGACAGAGAATTTGCAGTTAAAGCGCTAAAATTTAATTATTCTTTGACTGTGATTTTGAAAAGGTGACAGATTTTAATCTTACATCATATGTAACATTGACAAAATTGACGAAGTACAGTTTTGTAACAGTCCCAGATATTTTTATCTGAAGACAGTATTGTCTGATTAGGTTTCAGGCACCTCTCCTTGATGAATTTGCTCTGCAAAAAACATGATAGCTGTCAAACTACCCTTTCTTTGAAGCTCTGTGTCACTGAATTCCTATTTCTGCTTAATTGTAATCACTAAACAAAGGCAGATGCAAATAAGCCACAGGAGAACAGGAAAAAAATTTAGAGATTAAGTAAAAATTAACTAGAGGAAGATAGGAAGAAAAGTAGAAATTTAGAAAACATGACTGGTTTACAGTGGCTGAGAGGAATCAAGTTTTAGTCAACAGAAGAAAAGACTGATGTGGGACACAGTCTTCTAAAATGTAGAAAGGCACTGGAGGATTATGGTAATCATTAAATTACAGTAGTTCCGTTTTTCCCCCTACATTCTTTTTCGGTCAACATCCTGTCTGATCGGGGCATACTGGATGTGGTCGATTCTTAGCATGCCTGTCCAGCAGGTAGAAGCTCGCCTTCAGATCTAGAGGCTGCATTGTGATTTATCCTGGGACTGCAGCTATCAATTTCCTTTAACCTCTTGGGAAAGTGCCAGGAGGAGAGTTTGAAAATGAATACATTAACTTAAAATACAAAAGTGCTTACCCATTTCTCAGTGCATGACATGTCACAGTGACCACTATGCCATGGTTTGGTTTTTTGCTCTTAAGAGTCTGGAGTAAACGAGCTACCTTGAAAGAGCACAGTAACCTTTTAATTTAATGTGACATCATAACGTTAAATCCTTGTATTCAAAGCAGTTTCAAACTTTTTGCCTGCATTGTTGCTGGAGAAATCATTCCTTAGGAGTACAAAAAGAGTACAAACTATTTTAGTATCTAACACTTAGTGGGATAACAGAAAATTTATTCAGTTCATATCACAGCGAGTTTTTTGCGCACCTGCAGGGAAAAAAAAAAGCACTCAGTTGAGGAACTTACCTTTTTTCCTTCTTTTTGTACTCTTTATCTGGTCTTGCATACCCTATATTTGAGACTCTTTTAGCAATGAGAAAACTATAGTTATGCATGTAAATGTCTGTCTTGTATTAGAACTGCATGAGAGTTTGAGTTTTTATTAGGTTTAAAGAAATAATTTACTGCATCTCAAACTTCTGTCTGCCCTAATCCTTATGCATCATTCCATCATATAGTGTGTTTTATGTACATGAATTACAAAACACTGAGGATTGCTATTTTTTTCCCTGGAGTGCCACAAGTAATATAATAAGTGAATGGACATACTTGATAACATTCAGAAAAGGATCATAAAAATCTATTTCAAACTTATTATGTATGGAATAAAGAAAGAGTTTAGCAAGAACTCATACATTTCTTACTGTTGCTGTATTTCATATGTGTGACTACAAAGGTTGCTCATGCTGTGGCTAAAAGTCACCAGGAGTGTCTTTACAATGTGAGCAGATGGGCTTGATTAGAGAGAGCAGACTGAGCAGAGCCAAGTTGTCAGCTCTCTGATTTGCTCATCTGACCACCAGACCAGCACTTCCCATTACACTTTGTTAGCTCACCTATTAAAGCCGTGGATGCAGGGGTTATTCCTTTCTAGAAAGGCCCATAGATAAAACTGTGAGTCATGTTGCTAATCCTGTGCCTGATTTTTGACCTGTCTTAGAGTTTTCTGTAGCCTTCCATCACCATAGTTACAATAATTGGTCTGCATAAAAGTTTTCCATATATTTCAATTTTGCTCTTGTTACTGAGCTATGAAAAGCTCTCCTTGGATAGATGAAGATTTGTATTATTCTGTATTTGCTTGATGGGACTGTCATGTTTTTGCATTTCATGTGTTAGTAGTTGCAAGATTTATTACAATATTTCTCTAGGTTTAACTTACCAGATTTTTGTTTGACAACTAGATTCCTTTAGCCAAAAATATGCTCCTCATTAACACTTAGATCTACAGGATGCTGCCATAGAGGAGAACAACCTGAAATGAACTCTGTAAGGTAGCTAGGAGCCTGATTATCTTCATTAATTACGAAATACTATTATTAGAAGCATAAACTTGTTTGAACCATTTAAGCCCATAGTTTATGTAACAGGCACAGTTACCTACTGATAACATTTTTGCCAACTGTGTTATACTTAGGTAATGTCACCTTAGTTTTGGAGATCTAAAAGAACTGAGCATGTGCCTAGTTAGAAATACTGCTTACTAGTTGTTCTTTCTGTTGCAGGCTGCTAGGTTAATGAAACTTGCAGTTTGTCTCATTTAAGTAACAAAACAATGGAAAAAAAAATGCAGACTTAACATGTACTGTCTCTGCAGAGCCACTTTTTGGATTGCAGGCTCTTCAGTGGTCAGATTTTTTCCTCTCTTTGTGTAGTTACTAACCCAAGACAAACAGGTCTTGGCTGATACTGATGATCTTGGTTGGGTGGGTGATTGTCATGGTTTGAAGGTCTCAGATTTCACTGCGTACAGAAGCAAATTTGGGTGAGAAAGAGTTGTTTTGTTCAGATTCACACCAGGAAACAAGTGTGCCCAGTAGTACTGTAGATAACAGGAAGCAGTAGTGTGTCACCTCCAGCTCCTGAGCAGAGCCTTTGCTGCAGACATCCTTAAACTTCAAAGGGAGCTTCTGTCAGAACTTGTGGGCCCCTTGCAGTCCTCTGCAGGTGGGTGTGAAACTGGCCATCAGGCAAACACCAGTGCTTTGTAGTCCTATGAGGTCTTCTTATGAAGCAGAGAAGGTGTTATTTTTCTCAGACTATGAGTGAGCTATGCAAAATTTTGGATGATTTCAGGAGCAGTTATTCATTAGGAAGTAATGGCTACCTTCTGCTGGTAGTGTCACAGCATTCAAATTACAGTAACCTATCCTAAACAGGATTGCAAGGTATAGTTTTAAGATGATACTGATGATTTTAGGTGTATTAAAATGATTTAATAGTAAGGATTGTACGTGTGACTGGATTTGTCAGTTTTTTGAGATCATATTTAGCTTCTCTGTTCTTTGACTAGCAATAATGACAATAGAGGGAAGAGGCAGAGGTTGAGTATTTGTATGTTTTTTGAGGTGCTAATTCTGTAGCTTTCAGAGTGTCCCATGTTTTCCTGGGATTTTAATCCTACAACAATCCTGGATAGAAGCAGTGAAATATGGCAACTGTTTAAAAGTAAACATCGGTCATGATCTGTGACATGCAGTGATTGATAAGTACAGCAGACATGAGGAGAAAGTTTTTGAAAACAGGCATAAGGAAATATCCTAGTGACTTATTTTAAAGGGAAGAACAGAAATCTTATTAGAGCTATAGTTGAAGATGGATGAAACCAATTCGTATTTCTGATCTATGTCATATTGATTTTGGAACATGAACATTACATAGGGAGGAGAATGTTGTTTGGTTATATCCAAATGAAACAGAAGGGGTAGAAAAAGGAATTAACTCTTCCAGATGGTTCTTTCCAGCCTGACCTTACAACTTTGAGCTATGACTTCGAGTTTTTTGGCTGGGTGATTGAGGAAGAGGGAGAAGTGAGGGAAGACTTGGGTATGGAAGTGGAAGGAGTTTAGGAGCCCCAGGACAGGCTCACTGATGGGAGCTCAAAGGGTCTGGAATAGTTTGAAGAATGAGTTCATGAGAGTATCTTTTTTGGAGAAAGGGCATTTGCAAATGGAATTGGACTGAAAGGGAAAATTTGAAATAAGTTATAGGATGGGTAAAAGACTTTCAGAAGGAGCTGTTTTTCACAACTTTGCCATTTATAAGTGATAAAATTATTTCATTCGCAAATTGAGAGTGTGAAGAGGGAACTCTGGTTTTGCCATTTCACTTGTTTTTCCTTATATTGCTTTATCTCTTGCTTTGGTGATAGTTTTTAGTTGGGGTTTTTTTTTAAAGATCATTCAGTTCCTCACTGAAGCAATAAAGAAAACCTACCTTTCCTACCTTTTGTTCTCCACATGCTGTAGGCATCAGCTGGCTCATGGTCGTCTCTAGATATAAGCAGGTGTTAAAATAAAGGAACTGAAAACAATTCAAAGTACTGTTACACTTGGACTGTAGGTGCATTTAGAGCTAATCTTTAATTTTCTGCTTTAGGAATTGATTTAACTTCAGGTTAGATTTTTCAGGTTTAGGTCTTTCCAATTATGATGGTGCAGAAATATTCATAGATTCACTGCCACAAAGCTATGCTCTGTAACTCTGTTGTAGAATCATCAACTCTTCTATAGACTTAAGGGATTAAAGCTTACTTCTGATATGCCTTTATTTGGTGTATGTGACTCTTTTATTCCTGGAAAAGTTAGTATGTAAACATCCAAATGTAGCAATTAATTTAAGAGGGAGAAGAAAGAAAAATTGGCCAGCAGTTAAAACAAAATAGCTTAAACAGTAAATAAAATAAACAGACTTGGAGCAAATCCAAGGAGGACAGCAGGGAACCAATTCAAACTGCATTGAACCAGCGTATTTTGAAATGGTAGTGTTTAAGAGCAATAGTTTATTTAGATTTTTTTAATAGTATTTTTAATGAATTTGCATTTGTTAGGGCAGGAAGGAACCGAAATAAAAACAAAAACGAGTCCAATTGCTTTTGCTGTTCATTCTTCAGTCGTATAGAAGTTACTACTCTGAGACCAATAAAGGGTTTCAGGATTTTTGCAACAGCTGTTTGAGCTCTTCCATCTCTTTGCACCGGATGATGACTCTCAAAAGAGTTAGATCAGCCTTTCCGATTTCTACATTTTTTAAAATTAAATCAGATAATGAAAAGAATAAACTTTGTAGCGTATTCTACAGAAAATATGATAACGTCTTCTAGTTATGTATCAATCTAACAAGCAGGCTCCAGGGCTGTGGATAATAGACAATAGTTCATAAGAAATGTTCATTCACTAAGATTATAATTAAACTGGCAGAAAGAGTATTTAATGTATTGTGTGGATCACCTCACAAAGATAGAAGTCTGGCCAGTGCCTGGGTCATAGGACAGTAGGTCAGAGGTCCAAGATCTCTCTGTGTGTCATTAGCACATCCTTTATGGTCTAGAAATAATTATTCTTAACAGATACGAGGAGCTTTGAAAACTGATAATTTTGACACGCTAAAAACAACTGTGCTTTGTCAGAAAATATTAAAACTTTTTTGAGAGCAAAGTGATTATTTCACTTATTTTTTAACTTTTGCCATAACATTGTTTCCTGTTCCTAAAACAAACAAAAAAATGTTTAGTTCAGATCATGAACTTTCCATTTGTAAGTTCTTCTGTTTTAATTGAGGGCCTTTTGGTTGCTGGTTTTGTTTGGTGCAGACATCACCCATGGAAACAGCAGAACTTAGTCAGCAAGACTTGATACTGTGTTTTGAATCTTAACTGGCTAATTTGTACTTGCTGCTTCAGTTTGTCCTTGGTGAGACCTGTGTTCAGGGCACAGTGATCATCAGCACACTGCCCAAAGCCCATGCCCTAGATTCCTCCTCCATGAGCCCAGAGTCCCAAAGCTTCTGGAGAGGTTTGTGCTGGCCTGTGCTTTGTTGCTGTTTAATGGCTGCTGCTTAGAGCTATGGAGATTCCACTGGAACCATAGCCTGTGTGGCTATGGATGCTGGCAGATTTGTCTGCACTGCATTTAACCACAGCAAAGTGTTTGTACAGCCAGGTTAGCTTTAACCCAGTGGGGTAGGTGCTGAAAAAAGCCAGTCTCAGTGTGAGTTCTGTGCAGCCTTTGTGATACTGCTGAGGCAGGGGCTTAATATCAGAGATAGCTGGCTTAAAATAGCAGTTTTTCATACTTGGAGTTAGGGATAAATGACAGGGCACAAAATGTATCTTGGGTGGAGTGTTTGAAATCCCAAAGATACGCTCTTATGCACATTTCTTTCCATCGTTTTCTCCCACCCTTCCCAGTCCCCTCTTGGCAGTCACAGAAAATATTCCATGTATTTTGAGCCAGTGGCTATTCAGTGCCAGAAGAAGCCTTCCTGATGGAGCCTACACTGACCTGGTCAAGGCCTGATGACCCTGGATTATAGATAGAACAAGTAATTGTCCTATGGGTGTTACATAAAATAATTTTTAAAGAAGTGATGCCTGTTGATCTGGAATGTAGTGGCTTGAGGTAGAAGAGGGTTAGGCCAAGGGTGTGGGGAGGTTACTGCTGCCTTTAACAGTACAAAAGAAGAACTGCTGCCCAAAGCTGAGCCTAGAGTCTAAGGAATTGGACGAGAGCCAGATCAGCAGGCATGGCAGGAGCTTTGCTGTGGGCAGGGCACATGGAGTCATAGGGAAGACAGAAAAGCATTAGTGCTAAAACAGGTGAGGGAGAGATGCAAGAGATGAGATTTTGGGATAGGCAGGACGTGAGGGGTATGTGGCCAGAGACCCATTTCATTGCAGGAACAAAGACAGCATGTCTGAGAAAATGCTGTCCTCCAGCTTATTTGGGTATGTACTTTGTGTTTGACCCTTTACAAATGCAGTGCAGAGGGCTTGAGGTAAGGTTTTGTGAGCTGAAGTCTGGTGTCAGCAGTAACACATGAGGGCTCCTGACCCCTCCAGTTGGTCCTCTGCTGTGCCACAGCTATGCTCAGGATTGTTCCTAAGGGAACCAGGTGGGTTTTGTTCAGGCTGGGCAAGCACAGGTTTGCAGTACTGGCCCAGCCAAAGCAGCAGCGTGGTGGGGAGAGGACCAAGGGACACAGGTTGTGTCAAAAGCCTGGCATGTGTGCCTTCAGTAGTTTGTATTTGAAGCCGTGCCTTCAGTGGGCTGAGACACTGCAGCAGTACCTCCACAGTAGCACCAGACATTACTTAACTCCATTAAGTGCTTGTTCCAAACTCCAGTGTGTGCTTTTTATTATTAATTTTCCTACTGGCTGGTGGCACCTACTTCCATACACCTCTCACAGGTCAAACCCATGCTCCCATCTGTCATATCCCACTCCTACCTGGAAGGGAGCACCCAACATTCATCAAAGAATGGCAAAAACCACAAGGGTCCCAAAAGAAGCTCATGAGGTTTTATTAGCAAACTACACACTTGGCATGGAAATTAATGTTTTGGCCCTACTTCCTAATAGTAAGAGGAGGGAAGAAAGAGAAAGTGAAAGGGAGATCAGGTTGCAGGGGAAAGGAGATCTGCAGTCCTGGATCCAGGATCAATCCAGCCAAAAGGGTATCCAGGGCCTGGGGGGGTGCAGCACCAAGGCTTTGTGGAGCTACCTAGTTATAGGTAAGTTTTCCCCTGCCTGGGATTAGGTTTCTTGCTATTCATGTAAGTGAATCAGCATATGTACTCTTCTGGATCTTGATGGAAATGGGGGGAGCTTTGAGGGTCCTTTGGTGGTCTTGATCCCCCTCTACTGGACTTGTCTGCTCCTTGACCCTATTCCCATGCCTGCACTGTTTTGTGTTGTGTGGTATCCATGGACCAGAACAGGAAAATTGGCCCCAGAAAGGTGCTGCCCTACCTCTGCACATCCCCGCCTTTCCAGCCACATCCTGTTCTAACTTGGCTGCTCCAATGGTCGTCGGTATTTGAGGCATAGATAGCAGCACATTAAATCCTTATTGCCCAGGCTTCTACACCGTCCCTATGGTCAGCCAACAGCAGTAGGTGGCTGGAGACAGAGTTCAGCTGGAAGCAAGGGACACTGTGTCCTTTCTACCCTCCTATGGTGACATGTGGTGAAGAAAGTGGAATGGTCTCATTCTGGCTGTTTCGATGACAGATCTCCTTGTTAAAGCAACTGATTGCCAGGATAAAGAGGTTTATCATTAGAAATTGTTATGTCCTGAGTAACTTAATTAGTGCATATATTCTGTCTTTTGTGGGTGGGAGTGTGATGGTGTGATTTGTACGGTGTTTTTTCTTCTATAGCTTTATCTTTTCTTACAAAGAAAATGTACTCGGTGGGAGAAATTATTCCCTATACATGTGGTAATGAAGATAAAAGGTGCATGTGTTTTTTGTCTTTTGCAATGCAAAGCAAGAATGGCCCTCTAGTGGTCACGGCTTTAAAAAAGCGAAATGGGGAATTTTCCTCATCTCGCCCAAGCAATATTGTAGTAATTGTTTTCTCCAGGGCACTCTAGTGAGGAAGACATGCATGATAAAAATTGTTCCCTTCTCCTTGACATTCTTGTGCTTCTAGATTGATTAACTAAGATAATATTTGCAATTTAGTCATGTAATTGGCAACTTCAGACTGTGCGTCTAGGGAGCTTTCACTTAACTGTCTTAACTGCGTACATTAATAACAATGGCAATTATTTATTGAATAATAGGCTATTGGGTTTCCTAAGTAGCTAAAGCACCGAGCTGTGGAACAAAGACTAATGTAAATTACTGTCAACTATATGACACAGTTTGTTCCTGAAACTGCAAAATTATGCCATCATTTTGTTCACTTTTATGTAATTTTTTTTCTTTTTGAATTCTTCTCAACAGCCCAGTGACTTCTCAGTATCTCTAAAGGCGTCGGGGAAGAACAAACATTTCAAGGTGCAGCTCGTGGACAATGTCTATTGTATTGGGCAGCGACGATTTAATACTATGGATGAGTTGGTGGAACACTACAAAAAGGCTCCCATCTTCACCAGTGAACACGGGGAAAAGCTATATCTTGTGAAAGCACTTCAGTGACGTTGAAGATGGACTTGGCCACCTGGGCCTCTTATAACTTACAAGCCTTAGGTCCTAAATTCACTTTTATAGAGCAGAGCAATATCTGAAGCAGGCTTAAGGAATAGGCTCTTACTAAAGTGTTTGCTCTGTCAGTTGCGGTTTGTCCTTTTTTTTTTGTTTGTTTGCCTCTTTTTGTGTTCCAGTTTTGTTAACCTCTGACCACCTCTCTTCAGGTTGAGAGTTTCCCTTGGGTGGCCATGGCGAGCACTCACCTTCCTGGCAGAGTTCAAAACGCCCCTCTCCTGTGTACGTTTACATAGTTAGCTCAGATCGAGGAGGGGCGTTTTCAATTCAAACCAGTGTTAGTTAATCTGTTCAGACTGCTCCTGCAGGCAGAACTCTCCGTTCAGAGACATCGGGCACAGTTTGAATGCACTGAAGCTGCAGCTGCTTAAGTGAGAGAGAGTAGACATAACAGTTGTTGGCTGTGAGTTCTGTAGCTATATCGCTTACCGAGTAGGATAATACAAAATCTCCTAGTTCCTAGAAGCACTCTTTACACTGTACTCTGCTGTTACATTGCCTCTCTGACTCTTTGTAAAGAGTACACTAATTAAAAACATTTTGTAATAGTACTTCTTAAACTACTATGGTAAGATTGTAGTAAAAGAAAACTAGTGTATTTTGGTCTGTAATTGCAACAAAGAGAAATTTTATTTGAAAGTTGATTACTAGAGAAAGAATAATTGAATTGTAAAGGCTGAATGTTTTGGTAATCTACAACCAAATGTGCCATCCACATAATGCTTTTTCCTCTTGCCCTTCTGCTTGTTTGAATTAAACGATTATGTATTTAATTCTCAAAGTAATATGTATCTGTAGCTGATTGTTGACACTAATACAGAAGATTAATAAAAACTGATCTTGGGACAGGGTGGGGCGGGCTACCAACACTATATATATATTTGCTTTATGGAAAGAAATCTTCGGGTTTTACAGAGGATGGCGTGGTTGGTAGGAAGAGACACACAGAATGTTTATGAAGAAAATGCATTTTTCTCTTTTCTTTACATTTAAACTCCTTTATGGTTTAAATATACAGTCTTTAGATGGCACATTCCTGAGATTGAAGAAGGGATCATAAGATCTCAAAATCTTGCATACTCAGTTTTTTGGATATTGTAATAAAAAAGGTATTACGTCATGATGGAGTACTGGATTTATCCTTGGGTGGTAGTTCTGGTGTTACTTTAGCAAGGTGAAGTAGAGTGAATAATGAATTTGTTTGTCTTGGAATTTGTGTGGCCTAAAAAGAAATCATCTGCGACTGCAGAGGACAGTTTTGATATGAGGCAGTGTCTAATGAGCTCTGTGTTTCTTGTTTCTGTGATAATTAAGTCCATTCATAGCTTTAATGAAAACTGCGAGATGGACCTGTTTCCTGGTACCTCTTTGCTATTAAAACACATTTCTTACTTATGCTGTATTTCAGCCAGTAGTAGTGCAACTACCTCTGTGTATAACTCTAGAGCAGTTAAGCAGATACCAGCACTGTCTGACTTGCTTTGGGGTAAATCCTGCCACTGCCAGGACACTGCACTGGCACCTTTGCAAATGAACTGCAGCCTTGCTCAGATACAAGAGGCAAGTACAATTTCTGAAGTTCTATGCACATACTACTTTTACACCTCTTGAAATCTTATTTCTGTAAGGTTTTCTGAATTGACAGCTTGTATTGGAACTAAAAAATGTATTTTTCTGTATGTGCATTAACTAAAAATTGAGCAGTGACACTTGTGCTTGGTAAAGCTTAATGAAAGAAAGCAGTGATTCAGAGCAATCCAAAATGATCATGCATTATCCTGAAGCATACCTACCCACGACTGTCTTCTAAGAAGATAGAAGTTTTCCTTAGGAAGTTGGTGAGAAGTACCAGTTGTTTACAGCTTACCTACAGAAGGATTCCACAGTGGGCTTCTTAAACCTCATGAGTGAATTCTGCAGAGAATGTAGGGATTTGCCTTCTAATACCTAGTTTTTTCTATAGGTGAATCTAAGCATGTAGCGGGTATGGCAATAATATTAAGAAAGTCAGCTATATGTTGTATGAGTATTTTCAGGTTTGAGTGAATTGGTTTTCAGTCTTATTGTCTCTTGGTAGTATTTACAAAAATTATATATGGGAGTGGCTTACCTTTTCAGCAAACTGATTGCTCTAATTACTATTTCATGCCCTGTGTTCATTTTATTCCTGAAATATTCCATATGTTTCCTGTTTCAGGAGCCCTCATATGCCTCTTGCAATCTTTTTTCTAGAGTCCATTTTTACAAGCTCTCTTAGTTCCTAACTCCTTTCTAGTCTTAGTAGCTTAGAACTAAATCAAATATCTGAATGAAGGTTTTACTATATGCTTTATATTTTAAGGGATTTATCAAATTTTCTTTGCTTGTTTTTGTTACCTCATCTTCTGTAAACAGCTTCTTTGTCTTGAGGTGTGAATTGTAAAATACTTTGTTTTGGAAGCAGTTAGTTAGTTTATGACCTGTAAATGACCAGCTCAAGTAACTTCTTTTTTTTTCAAGTAAGTTTCACCTTGGTTTTTTCCATGCTATATTTTATCAGCATGCTTTCCATTCAATAGGCTCATTAATACCTCTTCAGCTGTTCCCATCATTACTGAGATATGTTCATATGAGTTTTGCCACCTTTTCCTGCCCTTTTGATCTCATTTGTTGGACTTAGCTTAAGCATTAATAATCTTCAGTACTAAATGCTTCATAAAGGGACAATAGACATGGATTTTATTATTATTTTCCTATTTTATACACACCTTCCAATTATTTGACAAAATCTCACTTTTATTTTTTTATTACCTACAGCCTCTTTGTCAAAGCTTGCGATGGGATTTTTTTTTTTTAAATGTGAGCAGAGTCATGGTGACCTGAATTTCTTTGCTTGCAGTATTCATTAAAGGCTCAAATAATTTCTGATGGAGTAGAAGTTGTGATTTTTCTTTATGGTGTTTAGTTTGGCTTTTGCTATCCTACCTGATTCATACAGGTGCATAAGTACTTTTAAGTACTACTCCTGCACAGCCATTAATGTTTTCTTGCCTTGCTGGTGTCTATGGAGAAATGCAAATGACTTGTGAATCCATAACAGTTGTTGTACTTTCCACACAGTGGCAGAAATTTTTTATCCATGTTTATAATTTTAGCTCTGTGAAGTTGATGACAGGCTCCCACTTGACGTTATCTGGACTGTTTGTGATATCACCCTTTGTGGTATCACATATTAGGTGGGGACAAATTAGTAAAGGATTAATATAAGAGTGCACTGAAAACATGCCAGGTAAACTCACATGGACCTACTGTGTTATAAAAGCAAAGGATTTGCTTACTCTTTGCTTTTGAGGAGAGAAAAGGCAATAAAGGTATGCAGTTGGGTATTTAATGTCATTGACTGCATGAACAAACTCTGAAGTCTGACACTTGAATGGTTCTGCTTAGTGTTCTCTATTCAGATCTTCGTGTCTCATAAATGTATATTAAATCCTAAAAGTTTACAACTGTTCCCTCAAACCTTTATTGTAGCTTTTCCGTACTATAAAGTTTGGTGTCTGGTTTAGTGGTTTCACTACGGGGAAATAGAGATCTCCCCCATTTAGAACAATAGCTTCTGTTACAACACAAAGTTGAAGTACTTTCAAAATGCCACCATACAATTTCACCTATAAAAATGAGTCAGATTTTTGCCTAAATTGTAAATTAAAAATGGATTACAGGTCCTTTGAACCAGGTCTGACAATTTACTTGGCAATAGCTACTAAATAACTGTAAGGGTTTTCATTTCTTCTTGGTCTTAAGATAGTTTAATTGAGTGCTCTAGGGATAAATGAAACTTGGGCAATCTCTACAATCTGAATCTTACAGGCTCTGTTTTCTTACTCCAGTGGGATGTGATGACTCATTTTTAAATGGAAATGTGTTAACATATAATAAGCTGTGAAAATTGTATTGCTAAAGTAACACTGATCTCTTAAAATGCTCTAGGAACTGTGAACCTTCCTATTCCTTTCTTTTCAGTACATTCAAAATTCAGTGCCTTTTTTATGAAGTGGAAAAGTGCAAGCCAGCAAGAGTACAGCATGCACAGTCCTGAAGAGCATTACAGATTGCCTGTACCATGTGAATTAAAGGATGCAAGTAAATGCTGCCATTCATTCACTATTTTGACTAACAAGTAAATCAGTTGTGCAATACTCTTCTAGAAAGTATACTGCAATTGCAGCCCAAATGTGCACCAGCTTTAGTATGTGGTAACAATGCCTAATGTATGTTCTTGTGCCAGTGTCTTGCAAAAGCAATAGCTTTCTGTCTTTTTCTCTTTTTTAGGTGGGCATTCATGTTGTTGGATATAGTTTTAATTTGTTGGAGAAATGAACACATAATGTTTTTTGACCTAAATTGACTTAATGTGAAAAATAACTTCTATATAGTAAACTTAAAACTAGTATTTTCTGGTCTTTTGCATGGTGTTGGAGCCCTATGCTCTTTTTGTGTTTTAAAATGTAATTTTTTTCTGGCACGTTCTTAGTGTGTCTTTTCTTGCTAGAAAATAGGCTGTTTCCCCTGTTGTTACTTGAACTATCCACCCAGGCTGATACAGAAGCTGACTAATAGAAGTGGCATGTAGCCATTGACACATTAGACAAGTTTTTCCTTGCATTTTCTTTCCCATGTGGTAATATTAAATGGTTTAAGAGTGGGAGGTTAAACAAAAAGAAAGAAAAAAGAAGACTTTCTAACTTGACAGATTATCTTCAGCAGTGGGAGTCCACAGTTATGAGGAAAGAATAACAGGTAAGAAATGTTCTTTTCTATTTTCCTAAATGGATTTAATTTGGAGTTTAGCTTGACATCCTGTGGCATGAGTGCAAGAAGTAAAAGAAAGGTTAACAAATTAATGCTAATTTAATCCATTTTATTGAAGGAATGGATGAATAAAGTTGTTGATCTCAGTGTCTTACTATAGAAAATAGTCATCTTAAAAAGGGGAGAACTGGGATTTTGGGGAGTTCCTTGTTGGTGATGGGGCTTTTTTTTCATTTTTGAGGGAAGACTTGAAAGAGGTGTCTTGCTCCAGTTTTCAAGACAGATTTTTGCTTCTAAGCTTCTTCCCAAAAAACATCTCTTGAGTGTGGGCCAGGCCACAGGGAATGAGTTAAGAGGAATTATTCTCCCACCTGTAATTGAAACTGGTGGTGAATAATGGGCTTTTTTTTTTTTTAATTTTGATCTCCATTAGATTGGATACATACATCTATATGGTAATTAATTAGTGGGTTCTGTGGGTTACTGACTTAGTTTTTCACCTGGGTTCAACTCTCTCAAGTTGAAATAAGCTTGATGACTTTTTTTTTTTAATTCCTTTTTATGTCACAGGACCAGTAGTGCATTCAGTGCAATTATAATTGGTAATGCAAAGAAGCCCTTCAGTTGTGGGCAGCTGGTATGTTTGGAATACTAAGTCCAGAGATGATGATGATGATAATACAGCCATAAAGAATTGCGAATAAGGGCACCAGCAGACAGAGAGAACAGGCTCTGGAGTCATTAACCAAGTGTCTTTATCATTTCTCTTTGGAGAGTTAGGATGTTTATTTTCACTTGAATATACATAGCTAATTCATAGAAGTTAAACTTAACGCTTTTTTGGTGTACAGTGTGTTTATATGTAAGTAAATTCACAGGAATTAGTACTACAGGAGAGAATGTCAATGTTAAGGGCCCAGGAAAATTAAGAGTACTGGTGTTTAGGACAGCTTTCCTAATGAAAATCCTTGCAGATTAATGTCCCAGTGAAAAGTGGGGTGCTACTTCACATTCCTTGGTTTTGCACTGGCATTGGCCTGACTTTGTGCTGCCACAACCTATCTCCAAAGGCAGGGCAGCTGTGATTATGTTAGAAGAGATTTTCATAGTGTAAGGGCTCTTGTGCAACTAGCTTGGACTAAGCACAGAGTGCAGTGTGAAGAGGTGTTGAAGAACCCACCAGGAATGGGTGGGTGCCACAGAGAACTCATTAAACCTAGATATGTTTGTCCTTTGCCCTTACTAATTCAGCAGTGAGTGCTGACCTTATCAATGTTTGATGTTTTGTGTTAGTAAGTCTCAGGGTTCTTGTTCCTTGTGCTAACAGAG